CCCCCCAAAAGAACAGTGTTGAATTTCTTGCATATGTCATGTATTGTATTGTTTATGTAGGCGACAATTTTTCCCGAAAGCATTGCGAAGGGTTCTTCCGGAAAATCCCTTGAACACTGACACTTCGACACTTACACTTACACACTGACACTTCCACACTTGCACTTGAACACTGACATTTCTACACTTACATTTGAACACTGACGCTTCCACACTGACACTTGAACACATACACGTCTATACGTATCCCAGTGTAAGGGTAAAAAGCATCCAAGGGTAAGTACGCAAGTGTAAGTATCCAAGTGCAAAAGTATGCAAGTATCCCAGTGCAAGTATGCAAGTATGAGTATGGAAAACTTGCACGGGAGATGTCCTAATGAAAAACATTTCCCCACTTTATAAATTCTCTCTTAAAGGCGGAGGGTGGGACGAACAGCGTCAACCGAAAATGCAACCCTCTGCGGAGATCGTGCGCGTCGAGTGCGCGAAATGCAGGCGAGAGTGCGATTGGGTCTGTGCGCGCGCAACCCTCTGCAGAGATCGTGCGTGTCCAGTGCGCGAAATGCACGCGAGAGTGCGATTGGGTCTGAGTGCGCGGAACCCTCTGCGGAGATCGTGCGTGTCGAGTGTGCGAAATGCAGGCGAGAGGGCGATTTTTGAAATTTCCGCGCAACCCTCTGCGGAGATCGTGCGCGTCGAGTGCACGAAACGCAGGCGAGAGTGCGATTTGTCCCGTTCCCGCGCAACCCTCTGCGGAGATCGTGCGTGTCGTGTGCGCGAAATGCAGGCACTGGCGACTATCTAGTACTACTTTAGTACGCGGAGTATCTGGGGAGCTGGAAGATGGGAACTGGCGACTTTGTAGTGCAACTTTAGTACGCGGAGTATCTGGGGAGCTGACTGGCGACTTTGTAGTACAACTTTAGTACGCGGATGAGTCATCTCTCGCTGGAAGCTGAAAACTGGCGACTTTGTAGTACAACTTTAGTGGGGAGCTGGAAGGCGAGAACTGGCGACTTTGTAGTACAACTTTAGTACGCGGAGCAATCTGTGGAGCTGGAAGCTGAGAACTGGCGACTTTGTAGTTTAGTACGCGGAGTATCTGGGGAGCTGGAAGATGAGAACTGGCGCCTTTGTAGTACAACTTTAGTACGCGGAGTATCTGGATGAGAACTGGCGCCTTTGTAGTACAACTTTAGTACGCAGAGCAATCTGTCAAGCTGGAAGCTGAGAACTGGCGACTTTGTAGTACAACTTTAGTACGCGGAGTATCTGGGGAGCTGGAAGATGAGAACTGGCGACTTTGTGGTACAACTCTAGTACGCGGAGCAATCTGTGGAGCTGGAAGCTGAGAACTGGCGACTTTGTTTGTAGTACAACTTTAGTACGCGGAGTATCTGGAGAGCTGGAAGATGAGAACTGGCGACTTTCTAGTACAACTGTAGTACGCGGAGCAATCTGTGGAGCTGGAAGATGAGAATTGGCGACTTTGTAGCACAACTTTAGTACGCGGAGCAATCTGTGGAGCTGGAAGCTGAGAACTGGCGACTTCGTAGTACAACTTTAGTACGCAGAGTATCTGGGGAGCTGGAAGATGAGAACTGGCGACTTTGTAGTACAACTTTAGTACGCGGATGAATCATCTCTTGCGGCTGAGTCATCTCTCGCGGCTGCTCTGGCGCCCCTGCAGCTGAGTCACCGTCCGCGCCTCCTCCTCAAAACCAAGCCCCGTCCCTGCTGCGTCCTCCACCCCCTTAACATCCACATGGGGGCGATGCAGCACACCGCGGAGTCACCGTGCCCTCTGTCTGCCCCACACCCTTCAATAACCGACGCAGCACGCCGTGGAGTGCCCATGAGTTCTGCTCTCCAAAACCCACCTCATCTCTTGTACAGGGACTCCATTCCTTCTGTCTCCCACTTCATCCCTCATGCCTGCACACCCCGCCTACACTGCCATAGCCCCGTCCCTGCTGGGTCCTCCAGCCCCTTAACATCCACATGGGGGTTCCACGTAGCCGATGCAGCACACCATGGAGTCCATGCCCTCTGTCTACCCCACACCCTTTAATATCTCTAATGCTTACCCCCTCCCTGCCCCCCTCACATTGGGGATTCCACGTAGCCGATGCGGCACGCCGTGGAGCCCCCATGTGTTCTGCTCTAAAACCCACCTCGTCTCTTGCTTGCACCCTTTTTATACTGGCCCCATCTCCCGCTGCCACCCGAAGCAAACCTCCACATAGGGACCATAAGGATGCCATTCCTTCTGTTCTCTTGGCTGCACCCTCTACTTACCCCGTCCCACTGCCATAGCCCTGTCCCTGCTTCGTCCTCAGCCCCTTAACATCCACATGGGGGTTCCACGTAGCCGATGCCTGTCTGCCCCACACCCTTCATTCCCCTCCTCACATTGGGGATTCCACGTAGCCGACGCAGCACGCCGTGGAGCCCCCATGTATTCTTCCCTACCACCTACCTCATTTCTTGCCTGCACCCTCTACTGGCCCCACTGTCTGCTTCCACGTAGCCGATGCAGCCCGCTGTGGAGTCACCTCATCTCTTGCCTGCACCCTATAAGGTGCCATGTCCCATTGCCACCCCAAGTAAACCTCCACATAGGGAGGGACTCCATTCCTTCTGTCTCCCACCTTCATTCCCTCATGCCTGCACCCTCTACCCCCGTCCCTGCTGCGTCCTCCAGCCCCTTAACATCCACATGGGGTTTCCACGAAGCCGATGCAGCACACCGTGGAGTCACCATGCCCCCTGTCTACCCTCACACTGGGGATTCCACGTAGCCGATGCAGCACGCCCTCCACATAGGGACCATAGGGACTCCATTCCTTCTGTCTCCCACTTCATCCCTCTTGCCTGCACCCTCTACTCCCACACCCTTCAATATCTCTAATGCTTACCCCCTCCCTGCCCCCTCCTCACATTGGGGATTCAACATACACCACATGGGCCCCACTGGGCCCAACCTAGGGCCAAGATGCGCACCAGATAGCTTAACTTTGCTCAATATAGGCCCCACCAAGGCCAACATAGGCGTGACATACGCCCCACAGACCCAAGTGGGCCGGCGCCCCGCTGTTAGGCGTAAGCCTTTAAATCCGGCCAGGGGCCCGAGGGGCCCTGACCTGGCCGTGTCATTGCCGTAGGCCATCTCTCCTCTTCGAAGTCTTCGAAGGAGAGAGGGGAGTCCCGCCCCAGCCGCCGACCCCTGCAGAATCGTGTGCTTTACAGTGCTTTCTGCTTCTTCAATTTTTCCGGGTTTGTGGCTCCAGATGGGTGAACATGGCATAACATAGGCCCAAGTAATGCTGGAAATGCGTGCCGCGCCGGGATGCTTCGTCTGCATCATGGGCAGCTGCTGGGCTAACATGGGCCACATATATGTGGCCCCCAAGATGGGCCAACATAGCCCCAACATAGCGACAAGATGGGCTAGCATAGCTCCCAAGATGCCCAGATAGCCCCCAAGATACGCCAACATCGACCCAAGCTGGGCCAACAAAGCAGCAACAACAACAACAACAACAACCACAACCACAACCACAACAACAACAACCACCACCACCACAACAACAACAACCACAACAACAACAACAACAACCACAACAACAACAACAACCCGTGCCCTTTTTCCCTGCCCCCTCCCCTTTGCTTGGGCCCCTGGCCGGCTGTCGGGCGTAAGCCCTTAAATATATATATATATATATGTATATATTCTAAACTCGGATATAGGCTTCATGCTTCAGGAGGCACCTCACTGGTATTATAACTGATCTTTTCGAAGTTCAACGATTTGGGTACAGCATGGTCAAAAGCGCTCAAAAACGGCTCCAGAATGGTACAGCGTTTTGGGTGGGGATGTTCTCACGCACTCAGCCAACACCCGTGCTCGCGCTCACGTCCCGTCCGTGACCGGTTCATCGCGTCGTTGGAGCCATTCGGGGTCTTGGCTCAGCTCCTAGACGGAGAACGTCGCCGAAGACCACGAGCTCATGTGATATAGCACATAGCACTTCCATCACTGGGACTTTTGGAGGTCATAGGCATGGTCGGCTTTGAATGAGCATTCCTTCTGTTCTAGGTCCTAGGTGTTTAAGGAAGCATTCAGACCATGCGGAGTGATGTGGAGTGCTTCATGATGCTTCATGCTGAGACGAAGCCACGTTGGCACTCTCCCAGTTCCTTGAACAACTCATCTTCCCGCCTGGGACATGGTCCAACCACCCCAGGTCCACCCCTCATCGTTGACCCAACTCACTCGCTTCGTCCGTCCTGCGTCGTCTTCAACAGCTCCATGAGCTCCCGCCTCGCCCAAGGTCGGTGCGGGGCCGTCGTAGAACCGCACACCCGTCGTTCGAAAAGCCGGCCGTCGTTCGAGAGAGGCCAATGGACGAGAAGGAAACCACCTACGAGAAGCGAACCACAAGGAATCGATCAATATCGATGTGACATCTCTTTTGTTCGCAATGACTTACTTTTCTATGCATGAAATCACCAGCACTGGACCCTGTTGAGCTCAGTTGTGGTAAGTTGTGGTAGTTCCTTTTTTCTGCCTGAAGACCTAATTGCCTCCGCGTCTTGCGAACAAACCTCCATGGCTAGCAGCTAGCATCACACACCCAAACTACTGCCCACAACGCCAAAATCGTGGTCCTTTTACTTAGATGCTTGCCGCATACGAGGTATTGCTGTGGTGATACTGATCTACGTTTCTTTCAAAGTCCTCCTCTAGAACCGAGTGACCCACCACAAAAAGGTGCATGTTGACCAGAAGTCTCAGGATCCAGGAAAACGAGGGGCAAAAGATCCTTCCGTGGCATCATCTACCAGGTATCGTAAGAGGCCTGTTTTGGGGTACCACCGCCACTGTGTCCATTGTGCAAGAAACCAGACCACTGAGAAGTCTGTGCATCAGTCACCCCCTTCATGGACAAGGTGTTGCACCACTTGTTGCACCACTTTGGAACGCAGGGAACCCCATTCTACGGATATTAAAAGGTTTGGATGTCTGATTTCCTGGTGGCAAACTCCGTCCATCAAACTTCGGCTTGCCAAGTTGCACATCATCCAAGGACTGAGGAAGTCTGCGCCTCGTGAAATGTCCGCGCAGTTGGAAACCGCTCGTTCCAGTTGAAAACAGGCCGATTCCTGGTACCGGCGGCTTTACCCCATGTGTTCCCTCTTCTGAATGGCGGGGGATCTGCCGTCTCCAATTCCCGACCTCCCTCGATGTCCGAACGCTGGCACTGCTTGCAGACTTGCGCACAAAGCATCCAGCAGCTCGGGTAACGCTGCCAGCAGCTGCTGAGCACGTGGGATGCTCGAAATTCAGTGTATCCAGCAAACGCCAGGGAGTTTGGGTGGGTTGGAAGGTCGGGGTACTGGTTTCCTCCAGGCGTGTTGCGACATGTCATGCCATCCTGAAGACAACATGGAATGAGGATTAAAGGAACAACATGCTACTGTGGATGTTTCCCACTGACTTTTCACTGCCGTGTTGTCTGAGAAGCTCCCAAGTCTTTCCGGCATGGACTATGAGGATTGAATATCTCCTCATTCACGAATCAACAGATGGCGAACCCACTGAGAGTACTCCGTTGAGCAAGAAGTTGGAAATGCGTGTTGTATTCCACAAATTGTGGACATCCTTGGCCAGGCAACTCTGCCGATAATACTCATGCACGCATAGAATAGTGAGCATTGAGCAGCGTGATTGAAACAAGTCAATTGTGCCCTGGGGCCCTGACTACCCCAAGCATGTGTTGCCTCAATAATAAATCCGAGAAATGGGCCCTCGCTGGAGCAGAAGTATCAAGCAAACCAGCCATAAAATGGCTATCATCCCCTACATATCTATATATATATAGAGAGAGAGATCCTCCAGCAACTGTGTTCGATGAAACCATCATGTAATTTCCGTGATTGTCCGTCCAACCTCCTCCATCCTCCCATCCACTCTCCTCTCACTCCCAAGCCTCGCTCGGCTCTTCGGGTGCTTCCGCGGAGCCGCCCAGCAGCCCAGACCAACTGCGGCGCGAAGCTTTGCGAGGAGAGCCGAGGTCCGATTTCTCACCTGGCCGTGTAGGTGGCGGGTTGCGCGGAACGTTTTGTGGTGATTGATGCTCGTCAAACGAGCCAAACAAAAACGGTCTGTGAGGGTCGGGTCCCGTGTCTTTCTTCAGTCCGGTTAGGGGGGTCATCATCAAACAGATTCCTCTATCATAAGGGAGGTCAACTTACCATGGTTTGGTGGGGGGAGGTTGGATTCCTCACTTCTCCACTTTGAAAATCAAAATCAGTCACAAGCCGCTCAGTGACTTAGACCCCGCGACCCGGTGTGGGAGGACCAGACCATTCGGGCCGTCAGTGTTTGGGGGCCCTGATCCATCTTTCAAGATCAGGTTGATCCAGGTTGATAGTGTTCAAGTTGATGATCAAGGGATGATGCTGATTATCAAGGGTGTCTATTGATCCTTGAGACTTGCCTCGATTTGGCGACCGTGACCGATTGAAAAAGATCGTCAAGAAGAAACGAACCCGGCACAATCAGTGCTCTGAAACAAGAAATACCCAACCCCTCTTCACAATCGCTTGGGCGATTAGATGATTCCCCTAAACGACTGTTCATGAGAAGAAATCAACACCCCAATCGTGGAAACCGCTACAAGTAGACAACCAACCTGAGCTTTGCAGCATCAGTTTTTCACATGGTGCGTCTGTCATCGGAGGGTTCCCATTCTGGAAAGGGAACTTCCAAGTTTCCAAAGATTGAAAATTGTTCCAGAGGGCCTGAGTTCCTTGCTTTCGGAAGTCCATCGTCTAATGATCACAGACACTTAGGCATGGGTCATGGCACCCTGCATCCCGCTCCAACTGCCCAGGCGACCCGCGGCAACCCCGGTACCTCGTTTCAACTTCAACAGCAGAAGTGTCACAGCCAAGCCGCTGGCAGCAAGCCTCAGGAGCACCGGGGAAATTCACAATCTCAACCCTCTTCTGATTCCTGGTCCTTCAATATCTTCAACAATAAGCTGAGAAGGGAGCTACCAAAGTCTGTGGAAATTTATGTGTTCTGGAGGGAATTCCTGATACTGGTCGCACACTCCTTCCGCCCCTCCTCTGGAACAAAGCTGCACTGCTGGAAGTGGGAATAAAATGCCTATAATGTCGTCAACCTAGGATTAAGTAACCTCCCCCTATTACTGTAATCAAACCCAGCTCGAGCCCCCAATACTAAACGAATTTAAAACCTGAATTTACACCTTGACATCCCCCTAATATGGTTTTCCCTGACCAGAAACCTCCCCCTATTAATCAAACCCAGTTCCCCCAGGAAAAAACATACTTTACTTTACTATTGTAACTATAATCCTGTATTATTTACTTTCTTTTTGGCTAGTATCAAATATCTTCTGGTCCACTCATCCATCATTCTCATTATCCTTTTTCTTCTCATCCTTCCCTGATGCGCTAGCAAAATTACTTCCTTTTCCTTTTATAAAAACGCTATCAAAATCTGAAGGTTTACAAGCTCACAAAGGGTACCCCTCACACACGCCCAACCACCCTCTAATAGTAGCCCCTCCCCTATCAATCAAGCCCACCCTCTAGCCTCCATTTTGTCTTCCATCTCCTTCATCCTGCAATCCTCCTTTTTCCTAATCATCCCAATCAAAGAACCTTGTCTTCCAATCTCTTTCATCTCCTTCATGCCAATCGTCCCAATCTTTCATAATCTTGTCATCGTCTCATCATCCCTCATCGGGTCATCACCTTTATTAAGGGGATGTGGTCTCCAATACCTCCAATCTCAAACCTTGTTGACCTTGAATGGGGGGTGGGGGGTTATCAACCCTACGTCAACATTGCATGTATATCGGACTGGTATCCAGGGGCATAGTTAAAGACACCCGATCAATGAACCCCCTTTGTCTAAGGTGGGGTGGTGCTTGGGGTAACACCAACGGTAAGGGGGACCCCCCCTAGGTCACCCTGGGTCAGACTTCCAGACGCGCCCCCTTGGTCATATGGAGCTTTTACGTCTCGAAGGTGGGTTTGTTCGTGGGTCAAACCACCAACGCTAAATCTCAGCACTATATACTATATACATAAACAAACATGCGTATACAATATTTGTGGTAGGGACCTTTGGGGTTCATTTCGCTCGTGATTGAATGTGCACCCCTGACGAACCTTTCATGTCCTAGGGTCCTAGAGAGACATTGGCCATCCACACTCAGTGGCTCAACTCCCCGACAGCTACCTGTACTTGGAGCGAAGTCTCCGAATCCTACATCAACCCTTTGTTCAAATGTCACTTGTTTCGTTTCAATCGGGCAAACCCTCCGGAAGCCAGCCACTCTTTTCTCTCGGAATGAACGGTGCCAATCGCACGAATCCATCGCTCAGCCATACTTATGCCGGTAATGACCTTAGCTGCTTTCCATGTAGATCGAAAACATCTTTCAAACTTACACTAGTCACTAGGCACAGGTGGGAAAGTATGGTTGTCTAAGTTTCCAGAAACCGTTCCTTGAGGGGCGACCGACAAAAACAAAAACTACTTACGCGGTGACAGGCTGCAGGGCCGTAACGCTACAGTGCCAGTACAACACCTGCGGATCTTGTCCTGAGATGCGATGCGTCCCGTCGATGGACGGAAAGAAAGAAAGAAAGAAATAATAAAAACAATAAACAAGGACATTAAAGCAGTCTATATTATAACTACGATCGCACGCTTCCGCGCGCACGTGTGACTGACTAATCTAGCGTGCAAAGTGTACATGCGCAGTCCTGCACAACACACTTTCAGTCTGACCTGAAACCCACAGACAGACACCCGCATACTACGAACATACATACATTCATACATACATATATTTCGGGAGCTCTACTGTGGCAACCAGATGTTTTATAGTTGACGACATGGATCTGCTCCAGCACGTTCGCACGACAACAATCAGAATAGAGCTGTGGCACAAGCATAGCAATACGCAGCGCGCTTTCAAAATGAAAATGTTCTTTTTCCAATATTTCAATCAAGCTCTTTTTGCTCTTTGGCCTTATGTCAGCAGACTTTCTTGAGTGGCGCCTTGGGACAGTGAGTACAGTCCTTTTAGGCTTTGCTTTTGGTCTGCTTGTCGCTCGAGCTTTCTGTGCCCAGCGCTTGACCTTGAGAGCTTCACCTTTTCTGGAAGAGTGCAATGGTAACGTAGCTTTGGTTTTGCCTTGACAGAACTCCGCCCATGTTTCATCGCTCCAGACGCTTGTCAATTTCGGACAACTGTATTAGGTCCTCAGTTTCCTTGAGGAAAAAAGGTTAACCTGTTTGCCAGTTTTCGCGTTGCGAGTCAAGTTTTCGCGCTGCAAGTCAAGTTAATAGAAGTGACAGGTGCACTTTAAGTCTGCAATGAACCTTCCTATCACTTGACGCATTGAATGACCTGCGAATTTAACTCAAGATTTGAATTTGGGGCAACACTAACTCGGGGCTCCTGGTTCCTAGCATTTTTGTTTTTTCAAAAGCGTTGAACACGAGGTTGAGTTTGTTTTCGCAGTCACAGTTGTCCCTATATAAATATCCAGCCACGCAAAACGTAACTTATGGCCCTCTAACTGGCATCTCTCTCCACGCTTCTAAAATATTTGACTTTCCACCTGGTATATTTTTGACACTCTATCTGGCATGAATCCAGTGTTCTGTAACATATTATCTCACATTCTTGTTGGCATATCTTTTGGCATTCGCACTCAGTTGCCTCATGCCATTTCTAATTGGCATATCCTCTGGCATTGCTTCTGGCATCTATCATTCACTTGGCGTAGATTCTGTCTCTGACAATACTTCTGACCATCTTCTGACGCTCTTTCGGCAATCTACCTGGAATGTTTTCTTCGATTCTAATTCCGTTTCCTCGCATTCTTGCTGGCACTTTTTACGGCGTCTGGCGCTTGCGGTCGGGGTCCGGTGGTGCATACTGGGGGGCGGGGAGCGGGAGGAGAGGAGGAAAACAGGACAGATCCTGGCAGGTGAATCATTTTTCCCAAAGAATATGGCACCCTCATTTTTAAAGAGTCCGGGTGTTTGTCAGAGTGCGCTGTCTTATGATCTTAAGTAGTGTTATAACATAATGATTCTTTAAATAGATTTCCTTTAAAATGTATGTTTATTACATAAACTATATGTTAAAATAACTCATGCCTTAATAATGGACGGTTCAATCCTTCTAATGTATAATGCGTTTGTCCCAATTTTGTTGCAATGTTTTCTACTGTATATTCACCTTGTAAAGAATGACTTGTTCTCTCTTTCTCTGTAATTGCGTTCTTCCTCATTATTTTTACCTTGTCTCCCACCTCTAATGTTGGATACATCTTTTCTTTCCTTGCTTTCACTGATACATTCAATTTTGCTGTAAACTCATTCTTCTCTTTCCTTGCTTCATTTGGTGTTAGTCCTGTTGCACTATGCACATCTTCATTATAAGTCAGCATTATTTCTAATATCTACTCAGTCCATTGTATATTCTGCTTTCCCTTCTTCTCATCATTTTCAACTCTTTGAAATAGTTTATCTTAAATGTCCTAATAAATCTTTCAGCGAAGGCAGGATGTCCTCTTGCCCTGTAAAATTCAATGCCTTCACCATCCACAATATTTCAGAACTCTTTCTGCAGAAGCCCCAAGTTCAAAGACCTCTGGAAATTGTTGTGTTTTTTTTTGGAGACCCAAGATTCCCCAAACCTCTAGAAAATTGTATTCTTTTGTATTTATGAATACTCAAAGCATCTGGTCACCCCTGTCTGCTTGG